ATTTAATCATTATGCCAACCTAGAGAAGTAATTATGTTACTATCCTCATTAATTTATAGGCAAGAAAAATGAAATATACAGAAACTATGTCGCTTGCCCTGTGTTGTATAGCTGATAAGTAATAGCAGAGACTTCCAACTCAAGATCTGTGCAAGTAATTTAAAAATGAATAAAATATGACTCTGTTTTTAAAGGACTTATATTTTAATTAGCATTTTTAGTGGCAATTGTCAGCTAGAATTTGAATCTAAATCCAAGGCTAGGGCAGGCTCTTTAATGTGCCTTTTCTAGGTGGCAGGTCTTCATTCATATATGCAGTTAGTGATGAATACTTCTTTAGTCTTCTCTTGAAACTCCTGAGTTCCAGGCATAAATGGCTCTCACCTCTGCGAACCCATTCATTTCTCTGAAGCCAGTGCAGTCCTGTGTTCATTCTTGTCACGCTGCAGAGAGCTCACTAGTCCTCCTTAGTGGCTTTCCTCTCTTGTCTTTCTTTTACCCTGGGGCAGAATAATAAGGGTAGTATGTTTTTAACGAGGACAACTTTTAGACTATCTTTAATTTATCCTTTGACAGTTTCATGCATGCGTGCAGCATATTTTAGTCATGTCTACTCCAGTACTCCACTCCTACCTGCTCCTCATGGATTCCCTAACAATTCCCCCTCTCAACTTAATTTATTTTCCTTTCTTGCTCCTCCTCCTCTTCTTCCTCCTCCTCCTCTTTTTTTTTTCTTCTTTTTTAAAATAACCTCTGAGTCCAGTTAGTGCTGTTGGCATGAACATGAGTGTGAAGCTATCCACTAGAATCGTGGCAACTTAACATCAGCCAAACCCTAAAGAAAAATGACTTGGCCTCCCCCACAGCCATCAATTGCAGATAGCTCCTTAGCTAGGGGTGGAGTCTCATGAGCCCTTCCCCAGTCCCTACTGGAATGCTGACATGTTTGATTTTGTGCAGGTAACCATCGCTCCTGTGAATTCATGAGTGCCGTGGTCATGTCCTGTCCACAAGACAGCATTCCACAGCATCCGTCTCCATCCTCCACCTCTTGCATTCTTTCTACCCTTCTCTTCTGCAGAGCCTTTGCAGGGTTGATATGTATGTCCTGTTTAGGACTGAGCTCAACCATCACTCCTAGCACTGTGACCAGTTGTGCATCTCCCATTGTTTGCTACTCACTACAGTAAGAAGCTTCTCTGACCAAGGGTGAGAGCAACAGTAATTTATTGGTGTTAACAGATATTTAGAAGGTAGTTTGACTACATGTCCATTTAGCAGAACAATAGTAGTAGGTTCTACCCTATGACCTCTACAGCCATGGGCTTTTGACCAGATTTATTGTACCAGGCATGAATTCTCTCCTGTGGAACAGGCCTTGATTCCAATTAGAAGGCTGTTAGCCACCTCATAACTGTCAGATGCTGCACCAGTGGGCACATGGTTCCTGACAGGTCAGTATTTTAGCATGCAGGGCCTGCCACAGAGTAAGTCCACTGATTAACATTATACTCTAGTAACCAGGTCTGGCTAGCAGGGAAGAAGTTTCCAGGTCAGCTCCAGCTTGATGTGTTTTTTTTTTTTTTTTGTCCTACAACCAAAGTGTGTTTTGTCTTCAGCAACTGGATCTTGCCATCAGGTTATAGTGTGGAAACAAGAATAATGGTAATTAATAGCCTGTATTGTTTTGTGAACCTCTGCACCTCCCTGACTCACAGGGAGGTATCCCATACCTGTTACTGAGATTTTCATTTAATAATTCATTTCTTCTTAAGGAAGCATTACCTACTGTCTTAGGGTTTCTCCTGCTGTGAAGAGACACCTATGACCACTGCAACTCATATAAAGGAGAAACATTTAATTGTGGTACTTACATTTTCAGAGGGTTAGTCCATTATCATCATGGTATAGCATGGTGACATGCAGGCAGACATGGTGCTGGAGATGGAGCTGAGAGTCCTATATTTTGCCTTGTAGGCAACAGGAAGTAGTCTCTCTCACTGGGTGTGGCTTAAGCATATATGAGACCTCAGAGCCCGCCCCCCCAGTGACACACTTCCTCCAACAAGGCCACACCTCCTAATAGTGCCACTGCCTTTGGGGGTCATTTTCTTTCAAACCAGCACACCTACCCACTCAAGGTACCTCCATTTAAACCCCCCCCCCATTTACAAAGTAATAGGTTTTCATGTGGCTTTTTAATGCATCCTTTGTTTTGGTTAATCCTCCCTACGCATTTCTTCCTGTTCTCCCAACGCTTCTCATACCCATATTGTGCTTACATGTATGTATGTCTACCATATGTGTATTGTACCTTAGGCCTGCAGAGGGTAGAATGTGGCCATGGATCCTTTGGAACTGGAGTTATGGATTGTTATGAGAACGTGTGTGCTGGGAATTACCCAGGTCCTCTGCAAGAACAAAAGTTCCCTTATCCACTGAGCCATCTCTCTAGCCCTAAATTGTAATTTTTAAAGAGTGCTTTTTTCCCCATGTCATAGCTATAGAATTTTAAAATCTTAGAGATGAATGCTTAAAAAAACAAAACAAACAAACAAAAAACTGGTAGTTAAAAATCCATTCTTCTTACTCATTTAGTACCAGGCAGTAATAGCAGTAAATCCCTATGCACATCAAAGGAGTAAAAATTTAGTCTTTTCTTCATGAAGTGTACAATTTGCCAGGCACGAAAAACATACCCAGTGTATTGTGGTGTATACTCGAAGAGGACACAGTACTGAGCTCTATAAAATTACCTGTAGTAGCACAATGGTCCTACCTTAGGGGATTAAGGAAGCTTTCCCAGAAGGAAGTATCACCTGACTGCAGATGAGGAGAAGTTGCTGATGTGTATGAGTGGAGGGAGGGCAGGATGTGTGGACCAGCAAGAATCACTGAAAAAATGAATATGTCCTTTAGAAATGAGGGACACTTTGTAGTGTACTTTGGGAATTATGGGTAATGAGCTGTTAAGAAGTGTATGTAGGAGCCGGGTGGTGGTGACGCATGCCTTTAATCCCCGCACTCAGGAGGTAGAGACAGGCGGATCTCTGTGAGTTTGAGGCCATCCTGGACTAGAGTGAGTTCCAGGAAAGGTGCAAAGCTACACAGAGAAACCCTGTCTCGAAAAACAAACAAACAAACAAACAAAGAAATGTGTGTAGGGAGGTAGTTTGGGGAAAGAGGTTGAAGAAGAAACTGGAGTCTGTCTGTGTTCTCATAAGCCATTTGAGATTCTCCTTTTACTTTGAGCAATTGCCCTTCTCTCTCCCCCCTATGAAGCCTTAGCCTTTCATTTCAAACTGTAACTTCCTACTTTACAGTCTGTCCTAAGATGTCACTACCCTAGGGATATCCCCAGGCCTGTGCCATTACTCCCTCAAGTGCAGCTATTTTCATGTCTGCTACTTACTTGCCGGGTTTTTCTCTTGATTCTTGTTAGTTTCTCACTAGTAGATGTTTTTCATCAGAGTGGAGTCATAGATGGGTAAATTCATACTAATCTACTGATGTTTGAAATCTTAAAATTCATAATTTAAAATTCAAAATTGATGAAAATATATATAATTATAGCATCAAATAAAATATTATTTATGTATGGTTTAACAATTCATGAAAATTTTTGACTTGGGTTAGAACAACATCAGTGGAATTTGAGTTAGTAGTTTCAGAGAAAAACAGTCTTATGAAAATGTCCTACAATAAATATTGAGAAAAATTTGGGAATATTTGTTGAAAAATAGAGGCTTAAGTAGATACTATATATTTCTCTTCATGATGGTTGAAATCCAACACACTGATTTTTACATATTTAATACACAGAATTTAGCTTTATTTCTAATATGTGACAATGGCCATCATATTGGAGAAATCATTTCTTAGTGTACTATGTTAAATATTGAGATTTCATGTATTTGTCATACTTTAATAACCATCTGCAATTATGTGCAATATGGATACAGTAACTTTAAAGCTATCAGTTCTGGTTAATACATTATATTTTACTTTCCTATGAAATATATTATCCTTAGTTTTTCTCTTATTCTGCATGGATATTATGGGATGAAAGAGAATTCAACTTTTTTTATTCTTAGTTTTTGAGATGGGTTTCGCTTTGTAGCTCAAGAAGGCCTTGTTTTCCCATTCTTCTTGCCTCAGGTCTGTGATTCCAAGCATAAACGTTAATACTACATCTGGCTAGAAGTTTTAAAGATAGACTTTTTTTTTTTTTTGAGACGGGTTTTCATGGAACTCAGGCTGGCCTCAAACTTGCTGTGTAGCTAAGGAGGATAACCTTAAACTCCTAATCCTCTGGCCTTTACCTCCTGAGTGATGGGATTATAGGACTGGACCACACACCCAGCTTATGTGGGGATGAGAATCAAGCCCAAGGTCTTGTGAATGCTGGGCAAGCACTCTAGTCATGGCTCAAAGAGTAGGTTTTGATTTTTTTACTGTAGTTTGAGATTAGGAAATATTTGGTGTACATTAGATTTGTAAACCTTGCATAAACTGTTATTAGTAAAGATGATTTATTAGCAGAATAACTTCATTAGCTTTAACTGATGGGACATTGAAGAGATGCTAGTCTTAAGTGTGTCTACATTGGAAACTATTGTGGCTTCATTACTTAGCTATGGATCTAGAACGGTGTGCCATTTAAGACACCACCCCAAGTCAGAAGCTGAAAAGGTGAGCATAGTTCTAACAGCTAGAGCCTTGTCAAGAGTATTTTCTTTTTCTTTTGACTCTTCAGGAAGGTTTATTCATCCAATGTGTGAAACATGTGAAGTGAGTGGAGTTAGGCAATCATAGAAGATAACAATTTTACTAACAGCTAAAGGAATTGCATTTTTTACTGGGAATATTCAGTGACTGAAATGAGTACAAAGGCATTGTGGGACTGATTTGTAAAGATTGCTACAATAATGCTGTACATTTCCTTCTTTCTTTCTTCTTAAATTGTTTATCTTTTCCTTCCTTCTTCCCCACCCTTCCAGAGGCTCTCCTTATAGAGAATCCCCTTTGGGTCATTTTGAAAGCTATGGAGGGACCCCCTTTTTCCAGGCTCAGAAGATGTTTGTAGATGTGCCAGACAACACAGTGATACTGGATGAGATGACCCTCCGGCACATGGTCCAGGACTGCACAGCTGTAAAAACTCAGTTACTCAAACTCAAACGTCTGTTGCATCAGGTGAGTACGTAATGATTACTCCAGCTCCACCTTGAACACAGATTGGCTTTTTAAAAAAGTTACTTGTGTTTCTAACATGTTTAGTTTTTGGTAGAAACAAAGGCTATAAATAGTACGTGCTTTGAGTTTATCTCCAGCACCATAAGACAAGAAGAGAAAGAACACAGAACTCTTTTTAGAGATGAAAAGAAAGCTTAGCATAGACAATACTTCTATTATAAGGTTGCTGAAAGATTAGAAGTGTAGTGGTTAATTGAACAGTCTGTTACCAGAAACGTGCTGGGTATTCAGTAACTAATGTAATTTCTGCTTAATGGCAAACAGGATTCCTTTGATTTGTGTTTGAGACTTTCAGTACCTGTTTTCTTTAGAGAGTCTAGACCCACAGTAGCAATAGGGCTTGAACGAAGTCACAGGATATGCTGATGGAAAGTCTCAGTTTGTGATTCAAGAGTACCTTCTTTGTGTAAATATTTAGTGTTAGCAGATGAACAAGGAATGGACTACCAATTTTAAACTGTGCATAGCTTTTATGTGGTTTTAAATCTATTTTTTTGCCTTTGGTATTCTAGCCATATTTAAAAACTGTGGTTGAGAAAGAACAGGCTGACCTCTCTCAGTTTGCTGTCTGGGTCACCTTTCTCAGGATGGTATGTCTTTGCATCATATGAACAGGGCCGAAGTCTTAGAATTCCTTTTGGCCACCAAAACCAGACTCATCTGTTTGCTCAGTAAAGGCTAGCTGAAAGTAAAGCAAGGCTTCTAACAGTTGACTCCGAGAGTAACAATTCTTTGTAATGTATGTTGTTTCATGTTTCTTGGTTCTGGCTTTTCTGGACTACTATGGCTATTGAAAATTTATTGAAAAGAAGCTTTGTGTGCTGAGCCTGGGGAAAAGAGGATAGAAAGTATCTTTTTGGAATCTGTGGTGCTTGGACTCCTCCTAAGCATACAAGAATTCTATGATGGAAATGTCCAGATATAAAGATTTCAACTTAGATAAACTGTAACTACCAGATAGTCTTTGCTCCATAGTGTTTCTTTGCTGGCTGGTCTGGGAGGAAGATTTTCTGGTCATGAGTTTTAGTTTCAAAAGTACAATGCAGTAGAAAAGGGTAGGAAATAGCTAAAATATACTAAATATCTTTTGTGAGCTAGTCATTGTTTTAGGGTATATTCCTCAATGATGAAGCATTATTAAATATCAACTGATAAGACCAGACCCTGTCCAGTAATAAAGTATAGATGATATCTGAAAAGAGGGTGCATTGGCAGCTGGTGACCAGTATCATAGGGATTGTCTTCTTTGAAGAACTTCATGTATGCGAAGCTGTGAAGCCCTGAGTGCTTCTTTTCTGTCCCTATAGTCTCTAATGTTAGGGAGTTCACATTGACCAAATGGACTTGTTCTTTATGTAGTGAAAACAAAATTGTGAGGTTAAAATTGCAGAAGATTTTTAGGATATCTTTAGAGTTTTCCAGCTGCAAAATAAATTAAAAACTGGCATCTAAGATTTCATATAACTGTCTCTTACATTTTTCCTTTAATTAAAAAATATTATTATTATTATTATTATGTTTGTGTAAATAATATGTATGCGTCTGTGTGACTGCGGGGTGTGGGTGTATGATCATGTCTGTGTGGTGACCAGAGGGTTACTTTCAGGAATTGGCTCTATCCTTATCATGATGGTTCCAGGCGTCGAACTCAGATCATCTTTACTTCCTGAGCCATCTTGCTCAGCAGCCCCTTTTAATTTTACTTAAAAAAAAAAATCATCATGAAGCCTATATGTGGTTTTTAAAAGCTCACATGCTGTGTGATGGCTTAATCAAAAATATGGAATAGATTTTTAATCACTTTTTATACCTCAGCCTATTGGATAAACAGGTTATGTTGTATGACCATAGTTTCCGTAGTTCCATTATGCATGACTTCATTTTGCCATAGACTGGAGATATATCCACTGTTTCCAGTTAGAGATTTGTCTGTCGGGGTCACCCGTGTGTGTGTGTGTGTGTGTGTGTGTGTGTGTGTGTGTGTGTGTGTGTGTGTGTTTGTGTAGAGTGCACTTTTAAACTATGGCTTTGCATTTCATTGTTTTAAGTTAATATTTTGTATGTTTTATTGCACAATTTATGGAATCTTGATGGTATTTTTAAATCCTGAACTTGGAGACTATGGGAATATGATGAAAAAATATAATGATGCCTTTAATTTCCTGTAGCCTGCTTCAAAGGCTTTTGGCTGGAGCATAGTACACATGTGGGAGTGCTTATCTTATTGGGTTTTCACACTTGGAAATGTCTTTTGTGGTCAGCACCCATCCAGAAGTAGAGCACTAACTGAACAGAATCTCTGCTACAGCTCATTACTCTGTTTTAACGTGGGACTATTTATTTGGTTCTGAAAAAGTCAGTCTGTTCGCCTGTTTTGAACTTGGAAATGAAGTGAAACCATGTAGTAGTCCTATCTGACTTCTTTTATCAACACTGTATTTATGAGTCATTGTTTATGTTTTGTGCCCATGCTCAGTGCTGTTGAATATTGTATTATACAGGTATTTCATTGTTTTACAGTTGACAGGCATTGGGCAGGTTTCCAGTTTGGGTTTTTGTGACAAGTGCCACTGCAGTGTCCTAGCACATGTCTTTGGACATTTATGCACGCTTGTTTTTTTTGTACCTGAATGGAATGACTGAGTCTATCATGAAGCATGTTGGCATCGAGTTCTAGGAGACATTCCAGTGGTTTCCTGAGACGTTGTGCATGTCGCTGTCATCTTCTCATGAGTTCCTTTGCTTTTATCATATTACCACATTCAGCTCTGTTTCGATCTTGGAACAGGAAATGAAGAATTTAAGATAGAGTAATGGAAAAACACCATAATACTTTTTTGTGACATTTTATTTGGGTTGCAATATATTTGGTCTCTATGATTCATGCCCTGTCTCCTCTGGGATGCTTGTCTTCAGAATAAAATAAAAGAATATGCAATAGTTTTTATGAAATGCCAACTGTGACATATAACTGTGTGTTCCATATTTCCTGTCACTCCAATATTGAGAAATAACCAGGAATTTTTCTTCTCCCTCTCTGTGTGTGTGTGTTTCTGGGCACGTGCATATTAATGCACCATGCGCTTAAGTATTTAGGGGCAGGCAAAGAAAATAGTGAGAGCAGCAGTGTCCTGGGTGGTACTTTGAGTTTAGAACATACTGAATGGTTACTTCTTGGTGGCAAAAAACCAAAAATGGGGGTGTGGCAAGGAAGGATGAGGGGAGAGAAGGTATGATTTGTAATGTCAGTGGAGACATTAAAGTGAATAAAATAGGGCCAGGCATGAATCAACCTCAAAGAAAATGTTGAAGGAATGCATAGAAAAACGTAGTAAAGCGCTACTAATATAAAGTTCAGTTTTCCTGAATGTAACTTCTTTGCCAAAACTAAATGCATGAGCATGAGCATAGATGGTAAAACCTGTCACCACACAGTTCTCATCACTCCAGGAACAAAAGCACATATGAACATCCATAAAGACTGTGTACTGTAGGAGGGCTCAGACATGGAAAATGTGAAACTGTTTGACACTTAGTACCCCACGTTGAGAAATGAAACACAGATAAAGGTCCCAGTGTGATCCTTTCTGATTGCAGATTCCTGTTTACCAGAATCTAGCTTTCCCTATACACATTTTATATAGTTTCCCCCCACCCCTTTTCAGCTTCTTTTGGTGATCGGGTCTCACTGTGTGTCCAGGCTGACCCAGAGCTCATAGTCCTCTTGCTGTTAGTGAAGTATGCTCCAGCTCCCCTGGCTTCTGTTGTAGTCTGAAGGGTAGATTTTTTGTTAGTTTGTCGTTCTGTGACAAATGTTCACTTCTCATATATTCCTGGTGCAGATGATGCAGAAGTTTTTCTCTCCTCTCTAATCCCTTTCCCTCTTTCCTGCCTTTCTTCCTCATTGAACCTAAACCTTGTGTTGCTGCCAGTCCTCAGTGCTGAGGTGTCTTTTCTACCCACTAAGTAATCCTAGTATTTTGTTTTTCTGTAAAGTATTGGTTTCATTTGTTAGATCATATGAAAGTCTCTTGGGATTTGATGGGAGTAGCATTGAACCAGTAAGTATATGGCAGGAAGAATTGACCCCTTAGAATATCTCTATGTCCATGAACATGGTATGTTGGTAAGTTGATTTAGTTCTTTATTTTTTTCAGCAATATTTTATAGATTAGTTTAGTTTTATTAAGTTTACTTCTAATAAACTGAACGATTTATTGTTGTAAGTGCTACCATTTTTTTCTCTTTCTTTCTTTCCTGTTTTTCACTGAGACTATATATGTGTGTGTACACACACACACACACACACACACACACACACACACACACACACACAATATCTTCCAGGGTGGTGAACTCACTAAGAGGACCAGACTTGGTTTGAACTCAATGACCAATGCATCAATCCTGAGTGCTAGAATTTGAAGTACATTTTTTAAGATCAGTAAGTTTCTTGAAGTTCATGAGGTAGGTTCTCTGCATCAAGCCAAACATTAAAGTGTATTTCCTACTATCAAGAGTGTGCTCAAAATTACTTTGACTGTCCAAGTACTTTTGTGGTTTCATATACATTTTAGGATTGATTTTACTAATTTTCTGAAGGAAGTCAGGCATTTTGGTAGGGACTTACTGAATCTGTGAATTGCTGTGGGCAGTTATTGTTGTGAGGTATACACCGAAGAAGATTACTTGGACACAGGTTCAAGCCAATAGGAAGTCTTCATTAGCCAGCTGGGACAGCACTGAATGTTTGGCCTGAGTGCAGTCCTGAGCCTTTCTCAAGGGGAGTTTTAAGCACAAAGTTGACATTCTGGGTTGGCACATCTCAATTAGCAAGAATAATTAGCCAGGAGTAGAACTACAGAAGCCAAAAGCAAGGCTTTCCTAGAACTGTAGTCTTTGCTGGATTAGATCTTTGTTTTCCTTTGGCAGGTGTTGCT